TTATCTCTGCAACAACTACATCTAATGAATCAATTGGTAATTTCCCTCTCAACTTATTGATTGTATATTATATTTAATTCTTTAAATTCACATCATTTTGACATTCTGGATTATCATTTTGTAGATATTATTGGTGAAGTTGTTTCATTAGGAAAGCTTGATTCCCGTGATGTCAGCAAATCTCTACATAGGCTGCCTTTACAAATAAGAAACTTAGAGTAACCAAAACTTTTTTTATATTATATCTTATATCTTATATTCATTACTTTACAACTTGCATGTAGAATTTTAGTATTATATATTCATTTAACCATTATTATTTTTTGCAGAGGTTTGCAGGTTAATGTTACGTTTGTTTGGAGATATTGCATACCAGTTAATTTCTTATCTTGAAGCTCATAAAGAAGTTGGTCGTGTGATTGTCCTTTTGCAATTTGCAAAAATTAATGTCTATAACGGTAAATTTTTTATACCAATCAACCTTATTTTAGTCTTTTATATTACTCATTCTATTTACTATTTTATTTTGTTTCATCAGCAACACCTTCTGTGAACAGTTATTTTGAACACACACGGATGTTCATAAATGCTAATCTTCCGAAATTGTTACATTCACAGATAGGTAACTGTACTTTTAATAATTCATCGTTTTGTTGTTTCTGTTCAATAATTTTATAATTTTATTTTCAAACTCCTAAATTAAAAAACAGCTTGTTGGATTAAGAGGACTTCAAAAACCCTTCTGCTTCTTTGACTGTTGAAAGCTCTAAATCATATTCGAATTTGATGACTTTTTGAATAACTACAAAGTTAAAAATGTTGTCGATTTGATAGAACCACAAGAGGTATGTGAATATTTTATCTGTATTGATGTCATATTGTTTTCTATTTAACAGATAATAAAATTATAATGTTTTTTATGATCGTTTTGATTTTATTTTAGGTCGGCCAATATATCATTGTCGGGACCATTTATGGTATTCGCCAAGATATTGATTGGTATTATGATGCGTGTACAAACTGTGGAAAGAAAGTTCAAACAGAAGATTTGTTCAGTGGTGCAGATAGTGGTGATGCAAGTGTCGTTTTAAAATGCAATGTAATTGTAAAAATAAGACGATCTCTTCTGTTCCAAAGGTTTTTTTTACATTTAAGAAAATATCAAAAGAACAACTTAACTACATTATTAACCATTAAACATATTTAATGTTTATTTATCTGGGAATTTTTTATAGGCATAAAAATACCTATTCGTGTGCAAGATGATTCTGGAACAATCACTCTAACTCTCTTCGATAGAGATGCTTATAGAATCGTCAAAAAACGCGCACGTGATCTTATAGATAAAATCAAACAGGTATAACGTAATTTTAATTTTTGTTTTCTTAATTGTTGTTATTTGTTGTATTTTCTTTAGTTTAATGTGCTTTTAAACATAAATATATTATATAACACATTTATTCCAGGCTGGGGATAATCCAAAATTATATATCCTTACGACCTCAAATGTTTGGAGCATAAAAAGATGGCTTTTAAGATAGATGTTAACAGTTTTAATGTATCCAATAACTACAATCGGTTTGGGATACTTGGCTATACGGTTGATAGTAACGTTATCGATGCTTTGGAAAAAAAGTTAGCTGTCGAGGTATTTATATATTATTTTTATTTGTTTTTTTAAAATTACTTTTTATGATGCATATTTTTTTAATGATCTTCACTAATAAATTGTAAATCTATATGATTTAGACCTATGTCCCACAAATTATATAAATATTTAAATTTCTGATTCAGGCAGGTAGTCCTGCAAATGCTGATGATACAGAAATCGCATCTCATGAAGTATCTCAAGAAACAAAGTCCTTAAAGGTTATATTATAAATTTACATTATTTAATTTTATATAATCTATTAAAAAGATTACTTTTTCTTAATATTTTATTACTAAACCTATTTACAACATTTTGTTTTTAAGGATGCGATATCGCAAACAGGTGATAATTTGACCCCAACATTGCCCGACAAATTTGAAGCTACAAGTCCGTTCAAGTATAATTCCCCAACAACAGTAAAAAAACGAAATGTTGGAGATACCATTGATGTTGATGATTATGATAATGTGAATTCATCCACCAAGGTCCCTCGATTGAATTCTAAAGTTGATGGCAACACAGGTCTATTAATACCAAAGCTTGAAAAAGTAATTTGAGATTGTCCTTTTTTAATCAACAATGTTCTTGAATTTGGATTTTTTTTTGGATTCTCTTTCACAGTATTGCTCTTTGTGGTGTCTACTGTTCAAACATTGATACTTCTTGCTTTATTTTCGCTGGTATTCTATATTTTAATACGATTATCATTTTATGGTTATCATTGTAATTAGACAATTCTTCTTTTAATAAATGTGTGGCATATATGTTTGTGAATTTATGTGTGTAAAATAAGCAAATAAATATGTTTCTAAAGAGTCTTATCAGAAATATACTAATTATTTAACGATGGTGGTCTTGATAAGTATTAGTTCGTTTCAAGCATATACAAATAAGTATATTACATACAACTAAATTACATTACATGTATTTACAATCATATATATATACTAATAAGGCATATTTTTTGGTTCTGGGCAAGGATGTATTCATTTTAACCTCATAAATAATTTTTCTGATGAAATTAAAGTGATAACATAAATAAAGTACATACCTCTGGAATAATTTATGGGCAACATTTGGGGTTTCCATCAAATACACAACCAACTAAATGCCCACCAGTAACAACCAACATACCATTACTTTTGTGTGTTTTCTAGGTTCATCTATCACATTCAGATTTTTTTACCAATATATTTGCAATAAAAATAAAAAAAAATTACATTCAATAACATTCTACTTTTCAATTTCGTGTTATAAGATATCAGTATATTTGCTTTATAAAAAAGATGTCTCAAATTTGAATACATTCTATAAATTCCTGTTCAAAATAATGATCATTTTTTAAACATGGACATATTCATAATTTTCACAATAAAATGGTATATTGGTGCATGCATTCTTGGGAATGTGCTTTGATATTATTTGAGTATTGTATTAAAAAAGATTCTAATCAAGCTGTCAAATGAGATTTCTCATAATATTGAACACGCAACAGAATAAACAATGCATCAGATGTCAATTTTGCCCTTTGTCAATTCTTTTGATGAGCTCTAAAATTTCAATCATTTAAATTCCATAAATTAAGACTACAACCAACAGAAGATTATCATTAGCTCATGCAACTCCTAAACCGGATATCAATTCCAAAACTACCCCTACTACTTCCCGTCCTACCAAAAAAAATCGATAGATTCCGCAAGCCTTTTTCTCCCATTTCTTCCAAAACTACCCCTAATGTCACAACATAAGCTGAGAAAAAAACACGACATCCTACAAAAAACATTTCAAAATAACAATAACAATATGTCGCCATTTACTACCCCTACTAAAACTACAATATTTGGTTTACATGATGAAAATACAAATAGAACTCCAAAAACAAATTTAATTCCGATTTTACCCTCCACCCTATATACTACGGGTTCTATTGCGATGCAAACAGCTTTACACCTGCCCCTGTTTTGATAAAGGAGATTGTTCCCGAAGAGGTTATTGTGTATTCCTTTGAAGAAAGAAGAGTTGGTTTTGTTTTTTGAAAGTCAAATTGCAATTGGCTTGTAATATGAATTGAATTCGTATGTTGCTCTTTTGGTATTTGGTATGTTATTATAACTGGCAAATACTTTATTTTTATATTTGATCATATTATACGGCTTTTTAATCGTAAAGGCCAAATTTATCTTTGTTGTTCTATATTCAATTTCGATTTTCTGCATTTTTTGGCTATGTTTGTATACTCAATTTGTTGTTATACATTTGTAAAATTCCGTATTTACCCTTGGTATCAAGATCAAGATCAATTTTCGTTATTTTAGTTTTCACTTATTTACCTGTTATAACATGCTTCTTTCAAACAAGTAGTTATGGCAGCAAGCATTAACGACAGTAAACTTTACTTACAATTCCATTAATACCCTTTGTCTACCGTAATATAGAATTTTAGTTTTCAGTTATTTACCTGTTATAACATGCTTCTTTCAAACAAGTAATTATAACAAAACAGTTAGCATTTCATTTTCTGTCAAATTTCTATAAAATAGCTATATAAATTTTGAATCACACTTTGCACTTTCTGTTTTATGGCTGTTTATAGCATTTAACTTTTGTTTTCTCTCAAATTTAGCATCTTACTTGGTTCCTATTTTTCTGATTTTCCTGTTTAGGTTATGTTTTATCATTCTTTAAATCCATTACTATTGCAAAATTTTACATCCATATTTTTTTAATATACAATTAACAATTTCAGAATTTTGACTTATTTTCCTAACATTTTTACCTATTTTTACTAAATTTTACAAATCCAACTTAACGGCCTCTTTCTAATAAGGATACATTTGGTATATTACTAAATTGAACTTTTCTTTCAAACAAAGGAATCATATACAGATCAAATTTTATAAAAATTTTCCTATGCCTTAACGTTGTCCTTTGGAAGCATAAATAAATTAATAAATAAAACGATTGTTTGAATTTTTGACTACTGTCCTACCAAAAATTCACGTTCCTATCAATGTTAAATCTCATTTTTACCCCTGATTGGTTTCACGTACTATTACAATCTTTGATTTGATTTGATTAATAATCGAAATATCCATATTTTGTAATTTGAAATTTGAATATGGAATAACTGCTGTATACATTAAATAAATTCTGTCACATGCCCGATTAAGAGCATCTAAAAATGGTATGCATATCAATCAATTATTATGCGCATAACATACTATATCAATCATATTCCGCTTCAATTACATAATTCAATCCCTACAACCGTCTCTGCATCTCAATTCTGCTTCTTAATTTCGAATCTTCAATCAGCAACTTCAATCCTTCGGTGAGTTTCTCATGATTAAGTATCATTGCTTCTCAATGTTTGTGTTAATCGTATAATTGAAAATTCTTTTTCTTCTTCTGCGACTTCAATTTTGCTTCTATTGAATTTGTTACTCAAAGTTTCTATTTATCTTTGATTCAGAAGTTGTTTATTAATTATTTTCTATCTTAAATTCTTTATTCGATCCACTAAATTGATCATCAATGTGTATGTGTATGTGTAAAAATAACCTTGTCTTACGTATGTCTGTGTTAATCATCACAGACATTGATCACATGTACTGTTTGAATGGATTGCTATTATCTTTGTACTTCCAATTTCGATTTTCTGTATTCTTTAACTATGAAGAAGAGCAAATTGGACTAATATACCCCTACCACGGCCTGCAATTTTTTTAATTGTTATGCCCATAAGCGAAAGGAATAACAATGCCCATATATGATACTGTGTGTCAAACACATACTATAATTTTAGAAAATATATTGAATAAAATAATACTCGAGCTAAGAAAGATACAACCTGATATAAGTTCTCAATTCAGGTTGCAAATTATGAGAGCAGATAAGTTTTGAATTTTTAAAACAAAGTGATCTGACAAGAAAAAAATTAAACCCAAACAAATATATACAGTAATAAGTTTTGACATCTAAGGAGATTTTTATATTTATAACCAATCAAACAATTCAAAAACATCTATTATGTGAATTCTGATGTTGGAAAGGATTAAAACAATCATAATTTTATGTTCAAAACCAATGTTATTATGAACTCTTCTAGCAACCAACTATTATGAAGAACAATGAAACACTAGCACCAATTTAAAAATCAACTATTATGGTATCTGCAACAAAATTCGGAAACATTACATATAAAGCCATTGTACTTTAGTATTTCATGTCATACGTAAGTTCAATCGACAACATTTTTTTTTAACTAGGTTACAACCCGTGGAAACCACGGGTAAAAGATTTATAAAAAATTATTAAACTAATAATATATAAGTTTTATTTATACAAAAACAAAAAGTTATAATAAAATATGTTTAAATAAATTAATGATGTGAATAATTACTAAAAAAATAATTGCATAACCACAAACCAAAAAAAATCAAATTCATATTTTAATTTTGTATTTGCATTCGAACATTTCAAGAGTTCTATTGTGAACAAAAATTAAATAAGCTTAAAAAGGAACGTCCATTTATAGTTAATATAATGTAACAACGTTAGATGTATTCAAGTGAGTGTCAATTATTAATCGGCATGCATAACATAGACTTTTGTGGTCATTTGCTTCATTTTGTATTGATATGAAATATCAGTCTTTCCGAAACTGATGATGTTGTTGCCAAATCCAAGATAACAAAATTAGCAATTCAAACAATCGACAAATGAATAAAATTACATATCTAAACCCACTAATCAAATGCCCTATTCACAAATGATAATAACTATTGTATAAAGTTATATATTTTGTTCCATTTCAGATAGCAACTACTAACATGGACTCCTTCAAGACTAATAAGAAGATAAAATTAAATAATTTCTATCTGGATAATACAAAACAATTGCATTCGTACACTACATCAGTCAGTCAAATTCCAACTTCTACAAATGTTACTAACCCTGGTGATAACGGTACGTTCATTATATATTTTACAACTTTCTTTATCAATGTTTTTAATCTGAATTATAACTATTTCATGTGTGTATATTTGATTATGCAGCTTCAAATAGGAATATCTATCATGTTCAGGCTACAGAGAAAAGAAGAATAAGAAAATTATACTTGGACAAAAAAAAAAAGGTTTTACCGAATGAATCCATACAACTACATCAACATCACATCTTTTTAAAATAAATGAAAATGATAATTTACTTAATTCGTTATACACTTTTCTTCTTTATTCTGTATTTAAATTTAAATTTAAATATCTAAATTCAATTTTCTCACATGCTCATTTTTTGTATTATGTCTTTTGTATATTAATATTCATAGAATATTTTCGGGAGTTACATTATTATTTCAAATCTATCCATTTGTTATCACAATTTTTTTTTTGCAGCCAAATTCAAAGGATTTGTGCATCCAAATAAAAACCTATCCGCATCTACATCAAGTGTCAATGTTTCAAAAAAATCATATTTCCAAACTTCTCCTTCAAGTCTAAATGTTAGAACTCCGTTATCTAACATTTCAAATGGTAACTCATTGATACTACCATTT